TCATAAATTAGGTGAATATTCCTTAGGAATATGATATTGGTACTTTTTTTTTTTCCTGAGATGGAGTCTCACTCCTGTTACCCAGACTGGAGTGCAGTGGCACGAACTCTCGCTCACTACAACCTCCCGCCTCCCGAGTTCAAGTGATTCTCTTGTCTCAGCCTCCTGAGTAACTGGGATTACTGGTGCCGTGCCACCACGCCTGGGCTAATTTTTTGTTATTTTCAGTAGACACGGGTTTCCACCACGTTGGCCAGACTGGTCTCAACTCCTGACCTCAAGTGATCACACACCATTGGCTCCCAAATGCTGGGTGATTACATATGGACCACTGCCGCCCTGGACCTGTTCATATTCTTGATAGCCCGCTGAACCTATATAGGATTATTTTTTTGAGACCTTTCATAAAAGGTTTTTCTTTTGTTCAGGCAAACTCTGTAGTCCACTAAATAGAGAATAAAGGGCCAGGCCACTTGGGAGCTGAGCAGGAGGATCACTTGATCCCATAAGTTTGGAAACCAGCCTGGGCAACACCAGGGAGACCCCTCCCCTCCTCCATCTCCACAAAAATAAAAATAAAAATAAAAATAAACGAGCCCAGGCATGGTGGCGTGCACCTATATCCCAGCTAACTTGGAAGCTGATTTGGGAGGCTGAAGTGGGAGGCTCGCTTGAGCCCAGGAGTTCGAGGCTGCAGTGAGCTATGACAGCACCACTGCACTCCAGCCCGGGCGACAGAGCGAGACTCCGTCTCAAAAAAAAAAAAAAAAAAAAAACACCACCAAAAAAGTAAAAAAAAAAAAAAGTTGAAAATGATGACAGATCCTTTATTAGCACCTCTTACATGCCCGGGCAGTGAACTTACATCATCTTTCACAAACAGAGAAACTGAACCTCATTCAGATTAGGTAATTTATCTGAAGACACAGATAAACCCCTCCCAGCGCCTGAGTCTCGGCGCAATCGGGATGCTTCGCAGCGGGGCAGGGGCAGGGCCCGGAACCACCGCCATGGCAGCCTGGGGGAACGACGGATTCGGGGAAGCTCTGCGTGGCCCTTCAAGTCCCGGGCCCAGCAAGGGCCAGGACCCTCCCTCCCTCCCTGCAATCGGTCCCCAAACTCGCTGAATGAAGCTCATTCAGATTAGATAATTTATCTGAAGACACACGGTTAGTAAAAGGCAGAACCCAGGTTTGTATTCCGAAGCCCTTTTGTTCTTTTCCACCACATTATTATGGACTCCCTAACAGTAATCCTAGTAATTTTTAAATGAACATACACCATAGTTCCTGTCCTGAACACCGAGAGACGTTGGTTCACGGAGGTGAGAAAGTTGACGCATCCCGCTGCGTCCCCTCCACCGCCGCGCACCCAGTCTCGCAGCTGGCATGGTGTTTCCTGGTGACATGAACTCAACCAGCTGGAGGCTCGGGATCTGGGGATCGGGGTGACATCCTTTGGTCTGGTTTGCAAGAGGACCCGCACGCCTCCAGCTGGGACAGAATTGAAAGGTTCAGAAAGGAAAGCTGGGGAGGTGGGGAAGGAAGAGTGCAAAAGTGACGCTGTGCCAGGGTCTCCAGGGCCAAGCAGCCCCGGGCCAGGCTGTGCACTCCGACCTGCGCAAACGCGTGGGGCGGTGCATCTCCGGATCTGGAAGTTGCCTCTGCCCTCACCAAATATGGCGGCCCCGGCGCCGCTCGCCCGCCTCTCGTAACCAATGGAACCGCGGCGGTCGGCTGATTCACGCAGGCGGTCTCTGCTCTACGCTCTCTGATGCAACGCCGGAGTCGCGGAAGCCGTTGGTGCACGTCGGCGTGGCAAGACGTCGGCGGTATTGCAGTCTATGTCCTTGGAGGTGACCAGAGCCACTGCAGCCATGGTGCTAGGTGGGTGAGACTCGTTGTGTGGCGCGGTGTTCCCTGCCTGGGGCAGGAACCCTGCTCCATCCGGGTTCCGGCGCTTTCCTTAGTGCGTACTAGAGTGGGCGCCCCGCGAATGTTTGGGGACCGATTGCAGGGAGGAAGGAAGGGTCCTGGCCCTCGCTGGGCCCGGGACTTGAAGGGCCAGGCCGGGCTTCCCCGAGTCCGTCGTTCTCCCGGGCTGCAATGGCGATGGCTCCGGGCCCTGCCCCTGCGCCGCTGAGAAACATCCCGATTACGCTGAGACTCAGGCGCTGGGAGGGGTTCAGACACAGGGTAGCCCCTACTCCCGCAGATCTTCAAAGTGATCGTCAGGAAGAGGCTTTAGGATTCCAGTTGTTTTTCTCTCAGCCTCATTTTTTTATTGAGGTTTCCGGGGAGACCATACTGTGCAGTAGAAAAAAAAAGAGAGAGACCTGTATGGATGTCACTGTTCAGACCTACTAGTTGTGAGGCCTGAAATTTTCCAACCTCAGAGCTTCTGTTTCCTTTGAAGATCAGAGGGAGCTGGTGTTTATTTGCCATCTCTACAAAAACTGGCACTGGGATATCTGATTTGTATGTGTTATTTTATTTCATCCTCAGTACAGCCTTTCAAGATGGGGATTGTTTTTCTTATTTTATAGATAAAGAAGTAAGCTCAGAAAGGCTAAGTAAATTCTCCAGAATCACCCTTCCTTTTAAGGTACAAAATCGAAGATTCCAGCATATGTCTGACCAACTTCAAAGCCCTTGTTTTATTTTTGGGTGCCCAGTTGGATAGAATAAATATCACAAAGTGAAATGATCAGAGTTCATTTTGAAAACCTGGATTGTTAACTAATGTTTTTAGTGAGATGGATGTTATTGAAATGGAGTGGGGAAATAATTAGGATATTAATTTCTTATGGACCTCAGTAATTTTTACTAATCGATGCTTGTTCTGTTTACAAAGGTAAGGGATGAATAAAGTAGTAAGGTGACTAATAGTTAATGGTCAGACCACAACTTACCCTCATTTTGTCAAACAACAGAGCTGTACGTCTCTGACCGAGAGGGAAGCGATGCCACGGGAGATGGAACCAAGGAGAAACCATTTAAAACTGGTCTAAAGGTAGAGTCTCTTCTCATTAGGAAAATGAGACTGCATTTATTAATGACTTATGTCAATTATCGTGTGACTTGTCAAGAATTTAATTTCAAACCCTGAGTTCCAAAGAGAATTTTCAGAAAAGGGAAAGTAAGGAATGCGGACAGATATGTGACTTTAAGATTGTTAGATGATGAAAGTCTAAACTTACTTTAACATTTTAAAAAAAAGGTATCTTCTTTTTTACCACATGGCATTGCTTCTTGGAATCTTTCTCTGCAATGAGTCAGATTGCTGGATTTTCAGTTCTTGTAAAGATAAAAGTTATCTTTCCTCAATCACAGTGAGCTCATGACCAGGGGGCTCCTGAGAGGACTTTTGGTGAATTTACCACAATTCAGAGTATGATCCTGAGATTTGACTCCAAGACCTGGTTTATACCAGCACACCAAGAATGGATTCTTGGAGCTGACTCATGACTTGGAGCTTGAAGCTAGAATGCCAATTTATTAACGTGCAATTATTTCTCAGGATCTAGAATCCTTGAATGAGTTTAGCTCATTCTCAAAGAGGTTTGTCAAGAACTTGGACTCAGGCCAGGTGCAGTGGCTCACGCCTATAATCTCAACACTTTGGGAGGCTGGGGTAGATGGATCGCTTCAGCCCAAAAGTTTGAGACCAGCTTGGGCAACTTGGTGAAATCCTGTCTCTAAAAGAAACATAAAAATTAGCGTGGCATGGTGGTGCGTGCCTGTGGTCCCAGCTACTCCAGAGACTGAGGTGGGAGGATTGCTTTAGCCTGGAAGGTGGAGGTTGCAGTGAGCCATGATTGTGCCACTGCACTCTAGCCTGAGACCCTGTCTCAAAAGTAAAAAAAAAAAAAAAAAGGCGGGGGGGCTTGGACTCACAACGTGGGTGTTAGGTAGTTGATTGTATCAGGGTAAAGTGTGGCCTAAGACAACCTTCTTAAAATAAACCATGGACTTAGCTGTGAACTCATATGCTAGAATCCATTGGCTACAACTGCCACATAAGGAAGATGGTTAAAAGTTCCTTGGGTCTGGGCTTTGGTGCCTCAGGTCTGTAATCCCAGCACTTTGGGAGGCTGAGACTGGAGGATTGCTTGAGCCCAGAAGTTTGAGAACAGCCTGAGCAACGTGATAAGACCCTCATCTCTACAAAAAATTTGACTTCTTAAAACTTTTTAAATAAATTTAATTTAAAAAATAAAGATAGGATATTAACGCTCCCAAAGTGCTGGGATTATAGGAGTGAGCCATCACACCCTGCCAACTACAAAAATTTTTTAAAAAAAAGATTAGCCAGGCATGGTGGTATGCACCTGTGGCCCCAGCTACTCGGGAGACTGAGATGAGGATACTATTTCAGCCCAGGAGGTTGAGGCTGCAGTGAGCCGTGATTGTGTCACTGCTTTGCACCCTGGACAGCAACAACAAAGAAGTTCCTTCCTTGAAGTATGTTAGGAATGTTTAGAAAGCGGTGCCTTGCCCTGCCTTTTTCTGTGCTCCTTTTGTTAACTGTGTTACAACTATTTATAGTTAATTGCCCAGTCTCCTAACCTGGGAGCCATTCTTCCTCTCCTCCTCTTGTAGAGCATCATATGGTTATACTCGCTTTGGTGTGTCGTACATGG